AAAGACTGATAACAATCGATTTTGATCCATAGCAGCGGTAGAAATGACTCAATATCACGTGCAATTGAAAAAGAAGACTCAGATGTTGTTGTGGCTGGTTGGGAAGACGAAATAGTTTCGTCGTCTTGAGCCATTGGCACTGGATCAGATGGCGATGATACTGAAATCTCTTGTTCCTGTTGTATACCTGTCACCCCCCACTCTTGCTTTCCTTCAGCATACATTGAGCTGTATCTACCTCTGTCCTCTCCTGTTCAATTAACTGATGAGTATCAACAATCCTCGTACTAAACACTCGGCCATTATCACATGTAACTTGATTGTACTGCTCTCTTCCCATTGCTGTCGTAGCTTTGTAAACTGATCCTTACAATCCACAGCATTTACTTGTAAGCTCCACTCCGTTTTACGATTGAATGTCAATGCTACAACACCCCAAGCTTCATGCACATCTGCCACAGTCTGTGCATTATTAAAATTGTCCTATAACTCTCAAAAACGTAGTCGTAATAGCTCTTGACCTATCTCGGCGGTCCAATATGCCTCTTTTTGTGATTGCTTGCGAGAATGGACACTATCCACCATTAGCTTTTGATACTCCTTAATCACTCGGAATATTGGATTCACTTAACTTAGTCCATGATTCGCGTCTATAAAAATCATAATTGTATCTTGATAATTTGAGATCTTATCAAAACTATAAAAATAGCTTGGATGTTTAGTGGTACGCGACCTTATCGTTTAGGCCCGTGTTGGAACCTGCACTGGCAAATGCACTTCCACTAATGCTGTCGAGCAAGAATGCTCCACAATGTTGCTTGAGCAGAGGTGTGCTGTACAAGTCAACGTTGTGCTGCAAGTCGACTCGTATGTTTGTCGTTTTTTTACCTACATGAAACACATTGGGATATCCCCACGTGCTGCTCTTTGACGACAGCAGTTTCGAGTAAAAGGAGATCTCATGTGTGAGATCTAGGCCCAATAGGTTGGTTACATGAACAAGCTTGGCATTAATGAGATACTGCCATCATGTAGCACACACTGTTTTAATATATGCGTTTAATTTCGACGTCTATCTAGTCATACCTGAGCTCAAAACTCTCAAAAACATCTCTTGATTCCGTTTCGTCCATTTTGCATTCGTATTTCAAGCAGAAGCTGCGAGCAGCATCTGCTCTGTCGCAAAGAAGGGCCGAAAAAAAAAATAAAAAAAAAAAAACCAAAAAAAAACTTTTTAAAAAAAAAAAAAAAAAAATTTTTTCACAAAAGACTGGGGGGAGGGGGGGTTTGCCCAAAAAAAAAAAAATTTTTTTTTTTTTTTAAAAAAATTTTTTTTTTTTTTAAAAAATTTTTTTTTTTTTTATAACATTTTTTTTTTTTTTTTTTTTTTTTTTTTTTTTTTTTTTTTTTTTTTTTTTTTTTTTTTTTTAAGAGTTATGCGTAGTGAAAGGACCTAGGTCTTAGTGAAAGGACCTAAGTCGTAATGAAAGGACCTAAGCCAGTTTTTAGTCTCATGACGGCGAACCTCGCTGCATCAGACTTGGCAAGTAATAAAGAAACGACACCGTTCAGTGCATTTAAATGAACGTGCTGAGAAAAGAAAAAGAAAGTGCTGGAAAAAAAAAAAACATTTTTGCAAGTCTGCATATGATGTCTGAGTACAAATTTTGTCCCGTTCACTTACTAAATGTATGGAAATGTCTTTCATACCGCACCATACAAAATCATATAAATGCTTTGCACAGATATCTTAATGGGTTATAAACCATTCAATAATAGCGATTTTTATGTAGATGGAAATACATTGAGTGAGTGAGTGTGGAAACGGATGCTACATTCAATAATTGCTGTTTGCCAAAGATGGGTCATTCCGGAATTTCCCTCATCGGTCATAGAGCTCCATCTCTCTTCCATTGCAATGATTAGTTTTACACAAACTTTAGCTTTCTCGACACTTCTTGCCTTGACCGCTGTCGTCACAGCACAAGAGTGCCCGTCCAATGTGAGCGAAACCTTTGTCGCTACCATCGACAACAGCACGTACTTCAGCACGTGTGCTGAGGGCACAACTTTCAGCATCACGTCGGCTTTTGACGTGTTTAACTTCACAGACGCGGACTTGCTAACGTTCTGTGACTCGGACAAGTGCCTCGAACCGATTCACAAGCTCATGAGATCGCTCGACTGCAACATAACGTACCGAGGTACGGCACTTAACCTTTCGGCTAAGGTTTCGAGACTTCACGACTTGTGCCACGACATTCTGGATGCGGTAGGATCAAGCAGTCACTCCATGAGTGGGGACATGGATGGAGATGCTCACGATTCTGTCAACGTTTCCGGCGCATCATACGCCGTGCTGGCAGCAGGATCGGTGGCCTATGCCGTTATTTTGGCTGTAATCTTTGCTTAAATCGACATATTTTTGCATCACTTGCTTGTCTTTTTACATCATGTGACGGATCTTGTTAGCTTGTTTTCTTGACAATGAATGATATATGCCACATCAATATAAGACGTTTTGGTCTTTTAAACTTGAACAGCGCTGAATATATGTGGTGTTTTGTGTAAATGGTAGGATATTCCACCATCTAATTGTCATATCAATTCAGACAACTCTCGAGGTGTTACTTCAAAAGATTCTGCAGGGTAGTAGTCGTTGCCGCCAGAAATATGTTACCATGTAACGCCACTCGAGTTGCTTGCGAGAGGCTCAAGAATAGTGCATAGTCGACAGCTTGTCTACGCTCAGATGCACCTGCTGCTGGGTGACCTTACAGTATGTAATGTATGTAAATTGATGCCTATATGTACACCAGACGGATCAATGCAGTAACTAACACTGATTGTTTTTACCACTTATATTTTCTACCAGCCAGCACCAATCTTGAGGTGGCTTGGTTGAGACCTTACTGGATATAACACTATATATACTGCTGCAACATGTACTTGTGGCTGATGACTTTACAGCGTCAGCCTGTCGACAATTATCGTCAAACAACAGCAATTGAGCAGTACATCAAACTATGAAGTTTAGTGTCTGCAAACCTCTCAGGCAACATTGAGCGACATGACAGTGTCTTTCATACACTTCGACCGGCTTGGAAGCACGACACATTTCTGATTCTAGATTAGAATTGAGCTGTAATGGTGTTGTAGTTGGGATATGCTGAGAACTACGACTTCATTCATTTTAACTATTACCCAGCGCCTTATGTCTCGCGTTTTTTAACTGCTTGAAAGCGTCAAAGGTGACCTCTTTCCACCGATCAATCTGCTTACGTGCACCATGGCTCGCATTACTTGCTAGGAAGTATGCACTTAAACTTTCATCTACTTAATACAGTCTAATACGCATTGTCATGCTGTGTATGATCAAGATCATTCGGAATCTGTGTGCTTTGAGTTTGAGTGCGCAAATGCACAACGTTATACCTGATAGCGATTGCCTCTGTTCGATAGTACTATGACCGTATAATCGTACCACCGTAGCCGTAAAGCTACATAAGACATGTAAGCACTATGTCCGTAATGATTATCGAAACTGCCGTCGTGATTTTTACAATAACGACGCATTACATAGTCAGTAGATTGTTTGTACTGTATACCATTCAGAAAAAGTCTCTAATATGAGCCAAGAAGTTTGTGTAACTCATAGGATGATGGGCGTAATGGGACAAGGTATTTACTCTCTTTAAGTAAAAAGTTTCTAGTCTCCCGTTGGTGGTCATTTGGCATCCTACAATATAGAGAGTTTTGGCATTTCCATTTTCAATGGATTTCCCCGATCCAATCAAGATGATGAAAATCGTGGCAAGTCTGTTTAAAGAAAAGCAGAAGGAACTTTTGCAACGTGCTATAGACTAAGCTGACAAGTTTTAAGAACAAACAGTGCATTCAAATACACAAGAATGGTTGATTCAACGGTTCAAGAAGATGCGTTCCAAGTTTACTCGACCGGGAGGTATTCGTGCGGATCTTGGTGCTAATGCTGTCCAAATAGCTTTATCGCTTGATGACGCCAAACCAAATACTAACATGAAGTTCTTTGCGGACTCTTAAACCCATGATTGTGAGTGTGCTGGACGTTGGCACAACACACTACGGCCGGTATTTCTGTGGGTTCGTGGCTATTGATGACGCCTTTTTTGGCGTCTCTTCAATGTCGCTCCTTCTTGAGGACGTCACGGGAACGTTGGTGGAAATTGCCGTCTATGGACTGGTAGATACAAATGTATGGTTATACGAGAAACAACACATCGTGACTTGTAAGTTTCCATAGGGGCTACCAATTGTTGTATTGGAACCATTTTACAAGGTTCGAATGGATGGATCCCTGGGTATTCGGGTGGAGCATGCGACAGAAATCATTCCATGGCGAGATGTACCGACTGACATAGTGACATGAAAGAAATTTGGCAACGATTATTTTAGTATTCTGAATTCACGAAACGAAGGCGGTGGAGCGCTGGCATGTATTTGGTGTGCGATACAAGCAATGCAATCAGACATTCGTACGTTAGTACTACTGCTAGGAAATCTTGCAACTTGTCGTTTTAAAATGGGCGACTTTGCAACTTCCATTCAACTATCTGGAGTTGCAGCTCATTTTGATTCGTCGTATTTCAAAGCCTGGTTTCGTCTCGCTTCAGCTATTGTTGAGAACGAAATCAAATCAATAGCGGCACATGTGGTTGCACATGTAGAGCATAGCTTACCGTTATCTCCGCAGGAACTGCTGTTGCTGAAAAGTACGTTTGGTGCAATACGCGCATCGACTGACACTTATCCGTTTCATTCGTACGCCGAATGGTGTACAAGCCTAGGATCACCTGGTTTTGTACAATTAAAAGAGAAGTTTCGCCACGAGTCAAAGGATGCAGACACATGGCGAAAAGAAGGATCTGGTTACTTCTTCATGGGTGACTACTTATCTGCAGAGGATGTTACTGGAAGGGTTTGACATTAAGTACATTGTGTCGTTGCGATGTTTCGGTCGTGTTGAATGAATAACATCGCCGCTGTTTATTTAATGATGCATCGTGAGACTAGCACTGTTCCTGGCATCAGTCTTGGTGAACTCAATGTGACGTCAGCAAAGATACGCGGGCAAATGTCAAACACAAAATCAGCACTTTTGAACTGCACCGTTGCTGGGATCATTGACCCGCTCAATCACAAAGCTTGGGTTCGTCGGACACGATGCTTGCAATACATGGGAATTTCGCTGGAAGATTGTATTGCAGACCTGTAGACAGTTGATGTAAGTGTCGGTAAGCAAGTTTGCACAACAACGGAAAATTCCAACCGAATGCACGAATTCAAGCGCAAATTGAGCAATTACACGCAGCGACTTTTACGATGTGGCACGCATATCAAGTTTCTGATGTGTCTACTGAAGTACAGCGGCAAGAACGAAATGCATGTCATCCTGAGATACTATTTTCTGCAGCTAGGCGTGAGTATGAGCATGAACACCAATTTGACTCGATCGAAGGGGAACGGGAAGAGAACATTGACCAATACATTGTACAAATGGAAGGACTTGAGACGATAATGCGCGTCGCTTTCACTGCTTCGAAGTCAAAAACTGACGAGGGACCACAACTTCCGCGTGAGATAATGATGTATGTGAAGGACTCACCACCAAAACTTCACATTGAGTTCCAAGGCTGCGTGGATGGTCGGTAGGGATCGAGCCAGCGTTTGCGAGGAAAATTCTTAACCGGGCGTATTTGGATGCCAGACCAAGTCCCTGGGTCAGAGCTAGCAGTATGCGTGAGGGAAGCTTTTTCACGCAGAAGAATCCCGTTGACTTGGTAAAACGATGGCATGGAACAGTGGCACTGAAAACGCTTGCTGAGAAGGCCGACAGCTTGGAGCTCGGTGACATTATTGCTTGTCATGAAGAACTGAGCAATGCTGTACCGGCTTATGATGCTCGCATCCGTTCCAACTTTGCCAATAATCCCAACCGTGCCGAAGTCTACTTTCTGTGAACTCTTCATGTTGCTGTTGGCTTTAACGACTTCAGCAGCCTTGAAGCTGCCACACTTTGCGATGAACTGCACAACAATATGCCTTTAAGATTTGTGGGCTTTGAAATGAGCGAATTTGCTGTTGCTAAATGCGAAGTGGTTGCGCAAATGCTTGCTTCGTCTGACGTGTCGATTTCGAGCGTGATGGAGGTCTGGCTGTCATCGACGTGGGAATGCTCCACGCTGAAAGATTTCCAAAAGTGTGTGAAGATGGTGTTGAAGTCATTGAGTGGACGGAAGTCAAACCCCAAGTTGATGTCGTATCTGAGCCATTGGGCTTCGGTCGAGACGATATCTGCTGCAAAAGCACACACGAAGTTCTTCACAAACTTACAACGATACGCACAAAGGGTACTGACAGGAATTTGTTGCTTCCGCCGCGAGACCGACCGTCTTGACTTGACTCATTATATGCTAACTGGGAAAATTCGAGCATCCTCACGTGTAATGAGGATTGTGGAGAAAGAGCAAAGCGCTGTCAATTCCAAAGAAGGCGGTTCAAAGACTGAGAGCAAGTCGACTTTGAAGAAGAAACGCAGTCACAGGATGAGAAAAGCTAAACAAAGAGCATTGTCGTCACCTCCATTGGTTGGCAGCTTGACAATGTGGAACGTGCCTACAGGAGCCCCGCTTTTGGAAGAAGATGTTGCCTTCAACACAGTGAGCTTTATGAATATCTTGGACGATTTTAAAGAGCGCGAGAAGAAACAGAAAAACTCCACGGATGAACTATCGGTAGTAGAATTGTTCATGATTCACATCATGCGGAACTTGCATCGACTTCGTGAGTTGATGGTTGCAAATCGATTGTCAATCGAGGTGTACTATGGCGTTGTTAAGGCTGTTCGAGGAGAGGCGGCAACAGATTTTGGGAACCTGAAATTGCTGGCGCGTATCGCATCGATGCACCCATTTACGATCTCATGGTCTTATCTACCTGATTACTTTGTGCCTGAAGACTTTCACGACGTCGCACGTCGGTGTTCGGTCAATGGTGACTGTGTGCATTATGGTTACAGCATGAATTGGACAACTCAAGTGTTAGTAACGTCATTACTTGACTACGACCCTACAAATCACAAAGCGCTTATTAATCATGTTCTGGACTCGGCCTTGGGCTTTTCTAGCGAGACTAAAGACGCAGGGTTGTCATTATTGGTTGGATATGTTTAAAGCTTTGGGGCTAGATAAGCTTTTGTCGTTGCCCTTTCGTGACAATCCGCTCAATAGCACGGGATATATTCTACAAACAGAAATGGATTGACTATTTTATGAAGAAGGGGAAGCTTTCTGGAGAGGCAGCACATAGGCTAGGTGCATTGTGTACATCGTCTAATTGTGGTCTCCAGGAAGGAGCAATGGAGCTCACGATACCGAATCCTTTGTGTCGTACGTCGTTGACGTTGTACGTGAGTTGGTGTTATGATCCAGAACTTTGTCTGCAAATGACAAATGGCGTTCTTACGAATACCGACAAGTTGGCAAAAGAATGCAGCAATTGAATGTCTGAAAGGATAACCTCTTGACAAATGTCAACAATGTATGAGCACGTATAGATTATGGAATTTCGCAATACTTGATGACCGTCTCTGGAAATAGCGACAATAAGTTTCCAAAGGACTCTCGGCCCTTCACGGACAGCCTAGGATTACACTACAAACACGTACATACTTTTGCCATCGGAATGACTTCCTTTACAAACATTTTACTGTTTCTTTTGCGTTAGCAATGCAAAAGATTGACAGAAAGTACACATTGAACACAACGCTTCTTTTCTCATTCATGACGTGTAATTGACGGTATGTAAATTGGTGTAAAAGCACTTGCAATCTCCCTACAAATATCAGAGCTAAAATGTATGATATTGATATCAGACGTTGGATTTGGTCAACCGTAGAATCGCACTCAGCTTCCCTTAACCACCAGTTGAAACGCACTTCACTCAAAACAGAGAGCAACGTAAACGATACCATTTATTTTGCTGCATATGAAATGTGTCGGCCTTATTAACGATTCAAAGTTATTGTTGCTTTACCAGCATATTTTCTCGACTCTTACTAGTGACAATGTCTTCTTCTGCTTGTGTAAAATTCCATATTCACTATTAAATCAAGTTTGTTGAATTGGGTTTCGCATTTGAACGAAATTTTTTTATTTTTTGGAACCATTCTATGGCGCGACTTGTGGTGTAGAAGCTTTTGCACGCGGAATCAGCGCACAAAAATGCCATTCCGTATTACCTATTCCATCAAAACCACAGCTACACCAACTGTAGCATCTAGATTGTTCAATATCGTGATGCGTGTTGCACAATGCATTGCAGCCCTCATCATCAGCGTTGTCTGGATGTAAGGTTCTGCACGATCGAACATAGCAAAAAGGATTCACTTTCGTACTCGTCAATCTACGACCAGGCGCACATCTTAAATTGTAATGATTCAATTCATGCCCCTGTTGCACGTAATGCGCCGACGCATTCATGTGTGCTTCATAATCCATCTTTCCCAGCCCGTGCTGGTAAGACGGCAGCAACGTCATCTTGCCAAACCATGCGCGAATCAGTAGCTGTGTCGGCATCATATCAATCTTCAGCATGCGCATGGCATGCGTCACGGTCGGCAAATGATGCGACGAAAGCATCCACTGGTTAAACTCCGTGCCCACCATGAGTGTCACGTAGTCGGGTTTTAAAATAGGTTCCACGAGTTGACCGTCATGGGTCTGAATGAAAAAGCCCACTTCCAAACCATTTATGCCGGAGGGCAACACTGACTCAAACTTGTGGTTAAAGCCGTTGTCACTTACTTTATAGAAAGCAGGCGTCGGAAACACAATAAACATACCGTTGTCCTCGTGCAGGTCGAACGTAAAGTTGATGTCGGCCGAGGAGTTCGTATCGGTGCCAGAGAACGCAGTCATAAGCCTGCGCTGAGAAGGCGTCTCGTAGGCGTGAAAGTGGTCAAGACGGACGGCATCCGTCATGAGTTTACGGCTAGAGACGACTTGTCCATAGCCGTCCTTGATAGTGAAATTGGTGGCATCGAGCATCGTGGCCACACTAAGCACCACCATCTCGAGCAGCGACGAGAATTGGCTGTAAATTTCCTTGTAACCCGGACACGTTAGATCGGTAAGAATGTCGTTGGCGTTCGCATCCTGACCCGATTGTGCGCTGATGGTGTAGCGTTTCGTGCCATCCGTGAACGTCTTTTGGATCAGGAAGTCGGCGTTGGTCTCTTGGGCGGATACTGCACACCCCGCGGCCATATCGAGGTACGAGCGGCGAACCTGGGCGTAGAAGGGGACGTTAGTAAAGCTGACGATGCCGTCCTTCTTGAGCGCTCCGTGTACGTCTTAGGGCGTGTTACCAGTAAAGAGGGTTGCGTTATCGAAGACGGGTACTTGGAATGGTGCCACTTTCTCAGCGAGGTTACTGGCTGTTGTACTTGCCACTAACATGGCGGCCAGACTGATGAGCATTTTGTTACCAGAATGATTGGATGACTGTAGTCTTGGGTGCGATTTGATGAATGCAATGTAAAAACAATGTGAAAGTGAGAGATACTACTGGTCCTAGAGTGCTATGTATGTCTACCTTTTTGCGCATAGTAAGACTTAAGGTTATTGTGACATCATACGCATCAAGGCACCAAGTTACAGCCATGATTGCAAGATCAATTTTTCACCATTGATACGTGTGCGGTATAAACGTGCGAAGTTATTGTTGATTGGCACAGTACGTTTTTGGTAGATACCTTAAGAGATAAAGAACGAGGACATTAATTGTATACAAAATAGCCAGCATAAATTATGCCGAGTAGCGTCCTAGAACTAACTTGCTACAAGTGGCAGACTTAAACTTCTAAACACGCTATTCGTCCGATCTAGAGTTGCAGTATTAGCGAAAACCGTTTATGCAAACCCAAAGTGCATTGTATGCCTAATACTTGTGATTATGGCAACATGGTATTCTTGAAAGCGGCAGTATGTGAGTCTAATGTCGCGCAGAAACGGATATCACAATATCCTTTTCCATGTCGTTCCGAAAGAATCAAGAACGTGCTGTGTCATTCAATAATATACCTTGTACCTTTAAATAGAAAGTTCTATCACTCGTGTCGATTCATTCATCTCAAAGTGACCCTTTTCCTGATCATTTGTAGCCGCTGATGTACAAGACGCATCACATGATGACATACTTTCTTACTAGATAACAGGATCCACAATATCTTATTGTATTAAGCAGCCTATAATGTAGCAACTTCAAGCAGCCTTGGCCAATGACACGGCTAACAGTTCAGGGTCTCTAATCCGTTCCCTCCTGAGATTTTCAAGTCAGATTTGGTAAAAGAACATGCCGACGCCATTCTAATCTCTTGGGTGGTACACGTATCATCTTGCACCAACCACTAGTTTGACCGACAAGAAAGATTGCGTTTTGCTTTAAATGATGATACGTAAGCACGCTACATTAGTTTAAGGTTTGGCTTAATCTGATGTGTTGTTTTATTAATCGCACTATTATAACAGTCTAAGAAACCTATTGACCTATTTTTTGTATGAGCTGCATATAATCAGAAGCAAGTCTACGCAACTACTTACTATCGACAAACCTTGAGTCCGTTTATCATAGATACCCTAGACTACACACTTAAGGACTGACTAGGATATTGCTTTTGCCTCAAAGTACAAGTCATTGATAATAGCAACCAAATCACACACTTTCTTGTTACAACATTTAACCTCTATATTTCAATCACATATTAATTGTCGCGTGCTAGTCCTTAAAACGAGGTACTGATCGGTCTAAAAACCTGAGGTCACCTTCACTCAGTCAACAAAGTTCCGGCTTAGTAAGTCATTCGAAGACGACATGGTCGCACGCCAATTGACACACCTTCTTCGTTCTAGTGCTGCCCAGCGCCAAACCTACACCAGCCTCGTGAACAAGAAAAACCACGTTCCAGACGATCAAAAGTTGTTCCTGACGTCAAAAGCCCCCCACCTACATCAAGCGCTCGTCGGACCGTCCGCTTTTGACAGTCATGTTCCTGTGCCTCGGTCTCGGCTTTGCTCAAAGTCTTCGTGGTGAAATTTACATGGGCACAGGCACTGGAAAGAAGGATTAAATGGAATTCTTTGTTACAACAGCAATCAGGAAGAATGGAAGCGTGAATGGATATACCGACGTTGCGCCGCGCATGGTTGAGATTGCGCTGCTTTTAGCTGCTTATGGAGGACGACGCTTCAGTAAGTAGTCGGGTGACACGTTGTGTCGCAGGAGTGACACTACTGATGGCAATTTCTGTTATTTTGCTCGCATGATAGATAATGCCTCTTCATAAGTTTATAGTAGGAATCAAAAGAAGAGTTTTTTTTTATCTGAGGCATTAGGTTTGCCATGTGTCTATTATTAATTCTACACTGAAGTTATGTGTGTTGTTGGACTAATTCCATGTATATTACACAATCTTCCTTGTGGTCAACCTGATCTCCCTCTATCATAGCGGGTTCCCTTTCTCTCTAAGAACACGTCAACTATCCATTAAAACCTATTGTTCATGGCGTTACCTACACCGTTACCCGATCGCGTTAGCTACGTCGAGGCATATCGTCGCTTTGTAACATTAGAGAGATCTAGTACAGTTGTTTCGAATATGGATACAAGGACATATCAGGATCAATTAACACAATCGTTGGAATATATGAAAAAATGCATTTACCAGCGACAGATGGACGGCATTTTGTCCACGAATGAGCGTTTCTTTGAGCTACAAAACACGCAACTTTATGCTTTTTGTATTGAATCTTATTTAGGTATTCTTCTACCGAAACAATCCTTCTATCATTATGTGGAAAAAGATACAAAACCACAAGAACAATTGAAGCAAATGGATGAACAACTAAAGCACCAAGTCTCTTCTATCAATCACATGCGTAATATTGTTGATCGTGTCAAGTTATTACATGAATCTGATGTATTTCTGACTGAATATTTGAATCATGCTGAGCGTGTTGGTCTTCTTACAGAAAAGAAACGACGTGAACAGCATGAACGTCTTGAGAGTAAACAGTTTTCACTCTCCAGAGACGACAAGATTCAACGATTTCAAATGCAGCGAGAGATGGAAAAGAAATTGATTGAAATACAGAAACGACGTGATGAAAAGAATAATATTCAGTTGGGAAATGGACTGAAAGAAGATGAAAAAGAACTTGATGAAGAAGATGATGATACTGACGACATGGAGCGCGAAGAATTGATGACATACATTCAATTATCAGTACTAAAATGTATGGAAGAACAAGCGTGTATTAATCAAGAAAAGGATATGCTTGAAACGATGTTAAAAATGAATGCAGACACGGACAAGCAGGATTTGTTCTCGGAAGCGCATCGACCGCCACCGCCACCTCAAGGACAGGGACTTGTGCGTCTTTTTTTAGTGTGAAAGTGATTGAAACGAGTAACGTAAGTTGATTGATGTGATGAATGATATGTGGATATGCTTTTGTAGGAGGTGACGCGCATTAATCCACAGCTGGAGATGCGACGCGAGACCATTCGGTCGGGAGTGTTTAAACCTGGTCACCGTCTACCAACAATGACGTTAAACGAGTATGCGGACCACGAAGTGGCTAATGCCGTGGAGCGCCAGAAAAGAGAAGAGTATGTGAGATGATGTGAAGTCTTGGTGCACGCGAATGCGATGTAATGGTTATAATGTGTCGGTTGCTGCTTGGAGCAGGGAAGCACCAAAGGGACCACGCCGATATGACCAACTTGTGGAGGACGGAGATGAAGACAATGACGCATTAGTAGAAGAGGCGACATATAAGGACCGTGCTTGGGATGATTGGAAGGATGCAAACGAGAAGGGAATTGGCAACAAGGGGGGCTCACAGTTCTAGTAGAAAGAGTTTCAGCATGAAGCAGTAATATGTTCTGCTAGAGAATGTTTTGGTTCTGAATTACACAACACGAGTTTTTAGACGTATGCACTGTGCACACATGGTCTCAAGTTCAAGCTAACAACAAACAACTGAAGAGCTTCGGAGGATATCACGTACGAAAGTAAACAAGTTTAGTAAAGTCAGGATGGTAGTGGTGGTGGTGTGTGATTACGACTTGAGCTAGATGATCTTAGAACAAAATCATGTCTTGTCAATTTCTTTTCTTACGCTTCCTATGAAAAGCTGATTGAGCAATTAGGAACCTGTCCATACCATGAGTATTGTTAGTGTACTTCCAAAATCGCTCTAACCAACAACCGCGGTAATAATTCAAACGTGGCAAAGACTGTAGATCATATTTGAGTTAGATAGTAACGTAAAAGACAATTCGTTGCGCTGCCACTTTACAGTCCATTTGATTTGCAACAACGCGATTGATCTTCATGTGAGCCTAGAGACAGCCTAAATATACACTCCTTTGCAAACTTATTGTCGCTATTTCCAAAGACGGTCACCAAAAATCGTGAAATTCCATAATCTATACGTGCTCATACATTGTTGACATTTGTCAAGTCGTTATCCTTTTAGAGTTACTGCATAATTTGTAACGCCGTTTGACAAAGGTGTGTATTGTACATACAGACCTGCCACAAAGAGTAGGCTCGGTGTGACCGTACTTAAAGTACGAATGGTGTATCGTGGCAGAGCCACGTGGTCACTATACTTATTTGAGTATAGTGACTATGCATATTTGCATAATAACAAAAGTCTAAGGAGCCAGTAATAGTGACTAGCACTAAGTATAGAGTAGGCGCTTCTACATTTAGTGTCAGAAGATAAACATAAATATAAATCAGTTTCTAACCTGCTCTGTAAGCCTTACAGCTTGAGCGTACTATTCTTTGTTGATAAGTGAGAATCTGGCCCATTATTCGCCAATAAGATGCGACCTTTATATTGAGGGGCTCTCAGACGTTTGAAGACCACTAGTACTTAGGATAAAAATTCAAAATATTATATAGAGTTGAATTTGGTATTATTTAAACACGCGTTTGATTAACGCGTGATCCTTAGAAAAGAAGGTACTATAGAAATGATCCTGTGTAATTACGGTCTTAACGCGTGCTCCTAAACGTCTCCTTGTGAGTCCTTTAGTGCAATCCACGCAACAAGTCCTTACCCCGTTACACCTGGTAGCACTTGGTAGTCCTCTAACGAAAATGAGCGCTCTGCCTATTCAAGGCGATGAGGATAGGATGCTGGATCATGATGACTCACAGCATCTGACCTCTTTCGAGTGGGAAGCTATGCGTCGCCTAGCGAACGTGGCCGGTATATCTACCGTCGAAGCCATGCTTAATGACACACCTGAGCGCTACAGCGTAGCCATTTAAGACTTCGTCAGCCGCAAACTCGCCGATTTGCGTCAGCGAGCCTCCCACTCCCGCGGTTGCGACAGGGTTTAACGTCGTCAAACTTAACGTTTATGCTATAACGGTGAGGGCCCAAAACACCTCGCGCTTGATAGATGGATTTGTGAAGTAGACATCGCTGTTTAAGCCCGTCAAAATTAGTCAGACTTTGCACGCATTCACTTCCTCCTGTCCAATTTAGCAAGCAAGGCAAAGGGGTTGAGCGCTGGGCAAGCTTGTGGCCGATCAGGGATGTTTCCCGGATATGAAAGCCCTCAAGGACGACGACCTGCGCCTAGCGTTTTAGCCTTCGCAGAATGAGCACCACCCCTGCTTGGCTTTCTTGGTACTGAAGCAAGGTTTTTAGTCGATGCCAAATTTTATCCAGCAAGCACGACATCTGGCGTCCTGCATTGTCACTAATCCGATGATACGGTAAAGCAAGTCCATGTGTTTGTCACTGGAATGAACGCTGGGCCTCAGCTTTTCTATTTAACGTGGAAGCTCCCCTATCTCGCTACAAAAGGGGCTTGAGATTGCGTTGCGTGAGGACTTCAGCGTCATGTCTTCTCGCATGGAATATTCTTTGCCTCTTCCAGCTACTCACGAGCCTGAGCCCATAGTGGTTGACGCGATCGAGCATACCACATACTCTAGGAGTGCTCCGAACGCCGGAATCCAGAAGCCTGTAGCTGGTTTGCTTCTGCTACCGTAAGCCTGGTCACCACGCGGCTGTATGACGTGCACCTGCACCAGTCGTCACTTTCGCTGCGTCTGACGTCACCTTTAACGCCGCTGATCAGCCAAAAACGACGGCCACCAGTATGCGCGGCGCGTTCTACTGGGTGGAAACTTAGACACATGTCTGCATGGCGATACGTTCCCCTAGACTTGCTGTGCAACATGCACAGCTGAATGCTACTACGCTTAGCAATGATCCGCGTTTGATCGTGCTTAGTATTGGCGTTGAGGATGCGTCAACGATAAATTCTGTCCGCGCCGATAGTTTACTCGTTCTGCCGTCGCGGTTGCGTGTCCACTAGTATTCAGGGAAGATGATCGTCAAGTATGCGGACGGCAAGCTTCACACGCACCGACATCTCTTGGTGGTACTTCCTTACCGTTTCAATGGTTTTTAGAGCAGTGATGATTTCCAAGTTATCGACTTGAGCGGTTCATTTGACTGCATTTTGGAATGCCACGGACTACACGGCATCGATCTGACATTTATTGGCTGAATCGCACGGTTCAACCACGTGACATTGATGTCAATGTGGTTCTCAACGATCTTAACGGGTCGACGAGTACTTGGCAGAATGTTGCTGTCCTGGACCCCGACTCCACCACTGACCTCGATGTGTGCGATGTCCCTTCGAGTGTTGTGTAACTCATCATCCTGCTCCCCCTCTGTCGAGCAGTGGTTCCTGAGCCGAGTACAAATCCCGATGCAGTGGCTACGGGTAGCTCATGGACGAGCAGCGGCTCCCATGCGTGCACATTCTTCCAAAACCGCATCGAAGCAGCAGCCATCGTTGCGTGACGAGGGAGCAGTGGCTCCTGGGTTAGTCTTTATACAGGACACCACGTCGGAGCAGCGGCTTCCGAAGATTTACGCGGAGGCGATGGCTTTCGTAAAACTCGTTGTACAACCGGTTCGTGTTCCTTTGTCACGTCGTCGCCGTGGGCGACATGCTCGTGGTCGTTCTCCATTCTCGACACCATCTATTCCACCGGCATCTCCATTACAGACCATAAATGTCTTTAAAATGACTGGTGCTGGTCCGCGCAGCCATTCGTTACAGGTCGCGAGTCGACTTCGCGACGCGTCTGACATTAAGCAGCTTTAGGAACTCTCTTGTTGTTGGTTACTGCGTGGTTTGGAGGGGAGAGGTTGAACAGCTATGTCTAGTCGTTTACGACCCCGCGCTTAACAACCTCAAACGTCCAGAAGAAATGGAACATAAGTCCACACGCGAAAGCGCTTCGCGGCGCAATCCTGGAAAGAACTTGCTGATTCAAAGCCTCTGTACTCGCGCTTGTGCACGAGTTTGCCGATGTCTTCCATGACAAATTACCTAATTTCTTCCTGCGGATAGAGGAGAGCGGTACAAGATTGATTTCGTGCCTGGTTTATAAATACTGCGTCACTCGACAGTGGCCAAACGATGGCATTGCCTCTGAAGCAGCGATTGCGGCCACCATGAGCACACGAGACGACACTACTTGCAGTCCCGCCGCAGAAAACACCATAACGCGGACCCTGACATCGTCACTCATGGCGATGTCCATTATACCACGATCATACGCAGAGCATCTTTGCATCTGGGAACTATACGACTGCAGTGGTATAGAAGTTATGCATGGAGACCTTGGAATGCGTGAAATGTGGCGATGATCGAGACGAACACGCGGCAAGACCACCGTGGCTACACGCGCCGTGAGGCAAGCTACACTCAATGAGTCCTAAACTGCATTCGTGCGCCGGTAGAATACCAAGTCGTCATTTGACAATCTTATGCCGATGCGTGAGAAACGAAGACAGCGCTATGGCCTCGCAGAGACTCGGAAGATCGTCTGTGAGTTGTCGTGGGCGGATGACTGCCCTGCTTGTACTGTACACTGGCGTGAAGGCTGTCGAATGTTTGAAGACAATGGCGTAGCGCGGCCTGACCGCGCTCAATGGACGACGATGCTCCTCAATTACCCGACGAGTGATACGAAGGACACTTGGATCGGAAGGTATGGGAAAAACTCTACGAGTACCGACGCGCGCATCCATCAAGCCGGGCAACATGACTGTGAAAGGTGACTTCGCTAAACTCAAGAACTCGTTCTCGCACACGGAGTTCTCCAGTATCGGGAGCTGTTCGACGCTCGCGATCGTAGGCATTCACGATGTCTGGAACGTCTGCCTAGAGTGCCGTGCGCGGTTCCCACGAGTCGCTATCAGGTAGAAAACCGAGCCAGCGAACGCGGTAATGCTGCGTTGTCGGAACGGGGTCTTGAAAAACATGAGCGGAGCCGCGAACGACCTGTGGCTAAAAAATCCTTATGTTCTACTATTCAACGCCGATATCCGGCGCTATCAACTAGTGGTGGAGAACCCTCATGCTGGAATTGGACGCGTGGCTCAGAAACTTGCAAGTCCTGCGCCGACTCTGACCCAGTCACTTGCGGAGCAGCTGCAGGAGGCCTGTCGGCGGATGAACTTCGTTGAACATAATGCAAGTCAAGGGCGTGACCTAGCCGAGGCTGCCGAGAGCCTAGACGAAGAGACTTTGTCTGCGATTGCTGGGTTCGCACAGCATTTTGAGCGTCTGGAACAATCGAATGCTGCTCTTCGTCGGAACAACGCGGTGATGCGTGGGCTGCGCCAGCCTGATCTGACGAGGGAGCCACGTTATCGAGGACCGCGGTATGCTCCCGCGGTTAAATAATCGCTGACGGAATAACAGACGGACAGTAACGCTTGAGACGGCCAGCATAGAAGGTATGGCGGAGGCGCATTGAGAAGTAACATCCAGAGTGTAGGCATTACCTTAACTT